TTGTACGAAAACGATCAGTTTTGGTCAGAACTCGAACGCAGCCACGTCAGCCGGTGAAATTTTTCACCTTCAAAGTGACGGAATTGGAGCAGAAAAATAATTTGGGGAAGAATATAATTCATTAATAATAATATTAATAAGTAAAATTTTTAAAATCAATATTTTTATGAGTTCCACATAAAAAGGAAGAGTTTTTTTTGGCGTGCTGCGAGCTCCATGTAAGTAAATCATTTTATACGTATTATCTCTTTATCATATAATCAAATTTATCATTGTATTTAGTATTTCTTTAGAGATTTATTTTTGAGTTCCGAAATAATTTAAATATAAAATTTCCATGATTTACTTGCAAAGAACAGAAGGTCATTTTTTTTATATAGTTAAACTTAAATTCTGTTTTAGTCGTTATCATTAAGTTTTTTTGGTTCTTTTTTTTACCTAACTTTTTTGGTGGAATATAAAAGGTTCTACAAAAATGTGGTACAGCCTTCTGTATTCTGCGCATGTTCTTTTCATGGCGCAAGCTTGCCATGCCTACGAAAGTAACTTCATAAATTTGACATGATGTTGACTTAACCTAATACCTAATATTTTGATGTTTTGTTTTGGTGCAGTCAATCCATGCTGCTACACCTATTGAATTGTATTTATTAAATTAAATAATCATTTTAGATTCCGTCACGTGAAAATATTAATTTCACTTTACTTGAGGATATTCTCTTCAGAATATTCCCTCAAGGTCTCAAGTAACTAAATTTCTTGAATAGTTAGCAAACCCGTGGATTTTGCTGTCACCCAGAGACCAGTGACTGGTTGTGGCTTTTGTGACCAGGATTCGTCTTTACAGCCATAAACTGATGTAGCCGTGCCAAGAGGAGTTTTCCTATGGACTTATAGTGCTGTAAAGATAAGTTGTTTAACTATTTGACTTTTTGTATTACGTATTACTTTCTATTTACTGTTAACTTTCATATGCATATGATCAAGTAACTACATTTTGATAAAATATAATTTTGATATTATTAGGAGAGGGAAAATATATTACCTGTTTTTATTAGTTTTTTTTTTTAATAGGATTTTAAGAGTACTGACCAAACTCACTTTTGCTATAATATATTTTTTTAATACAATACATTGGATATGATACAATTTAATATTGGGAAAGGGAAATAAATTTAATGTTTTTTTTTTTTTTTAAATATGATATAATGAGTATGGAACAACTCATTTTTTTGGATGTAATATAATATAATTGTAATAGATTTATCGAGTTGATATCTTTATAATATTGTCATTAGTATCTCATATTAGTAGAACTATTTAAATTAAATTACTACCTTTTGTGTTAAGACTTAGGCTACCCTACGGACTATTCTTGATTTATACTAATATTTCATATTTTATTTGGCCAGTGGTAGTGACTGTTCGCTTGTTGAGGGGCTATTAGGTCTCATTGTATCTGTACACCATCCACTACCACTGTTATTTGGCTTTGCATTATATGTAAATTGTTTATACACATATACCTATATACATTTTTATAAATATATTTATTGTTGCTATTTTGAGTTTTATTTCAGTTCTACTAACCAGTATATAACATAGCAAAACAAGATTATTATTTAGTATTTTTGTATTTCAGAGTATTATCTCCAGATTCATTTGTTACTTCAAAATCTCAACTATCGTTGAGTTGGCGCCCTTCTTTTCTCTTCTTATTGTTCTCTTTCTATAAATTTATTCCCAGTGACCTTCTTCAGTTGTATCACGTTTGATATTACCAGGTCTCATTTCTTTCTTGTCTCATTAGCTTATTATCTCTTGTTATTGTTGTTTATATCTTTAAAGCCACAATCCAGTGCATTGAAGCTAGCCCGAACACTCACTTGAGATTTAGTGTCTCTTTGGCTATATAAATTTGTTCCTCTGAGCTTAGCCCTATTTTTAGTATTTTTTTCATCACTTCTCTTTCAGTTATTCTGAAATTTGGAAGTTCTACACTTCCAAAAACCCAATACTCCCGGAGTATTGAGCGTTTCAATTTGATCTAAGTAATTTCGAGTGGAAGCCATGAGTTTCAAATCATCCATATACAACAGATGATTAAGCTTCGCCACTACAGTGATGTTGTTTTTAATGCTGAAACCTAAGTGAGTGGAGTTCAATAGCTGGGATAGTGGGTACATCGCTAGACAGAACCACAAGGGACTCAGCGAGTCTCCTTGGAATAGGCCGCGGTTAATTGCGATATTTTCCGTTTCGATATTTTTTTTCACCAGGTACTTGGAGCTGAATTTTAGTCTTCCAATCTGTCATTATATGTCTTAAGAAGGTTACTATATTATCATCGACTTTATATATTCTTAACATCCGCAAGTTATATAATTCCTATCCATGAACTGTCAATTTCAGTACTCACACAGTCTTATTGGCTAAAATATAAAACTCCGCTAATTTGTGAAAGTTATACCACTCTTTCCCAATTTAGGTCGGTACTGTACACATCAAAAATCCAACCAATATTTTCAGAATATCCGCATGTCCTTTTCTCTAAAAAAATTAAGACGTTTCAGATTGACAAAAACGACCACTTCCTCGAAACGGTTAATCAACGATGGCCTGACTATTATCAGATTTACACCGATGGATCAAAACAAATTCGTACAGGTGCCACTTTTTACGATCACACCTCAAAATATCATGAAGAGTTCAGATTACCAGATGAGGCAACGATATATACAGCAGAAATGTTTGCAATAAGTGAAGCTCTAAAATATATACTTAGGACGTGTAGACTCAAAAGTATTATATTTACAGATTGCAAAAGTGTCACAGAGAGACTAAAAAATATAAGTGCGGCCAAGAACTTAAGTCATCTAGAATAAGTACATAAGTACAAGTACATGTACATAAGTTTTCAAAAGAAAAAAAATACAACCAATATAATTAACATAAGACTAGTTACAATATTTTGTTCGTTTTCATTAAACTTGTTTTTGAAACTATGTAAACTAGTAGCTTCTACTATGTGTTATGACCTCTTAGTCTACCACCCCCCTCCAAAAATCCCCACTAAGAATTATATAAGTAGATATGACATCATATATTTCTCGTCTAAGAGTTAATGGAGACAACTTGAGCTTTCTTAGTCGGGTTTCATAGTCTAATCTTCCATAATTAAAAGGTAGCTAGGTCCCTCTTAGTTGTACTTCTTCTAATAAATTAATGTCTTTTTGCAAATGAGGTGACCAAACTGACACTGCAAATTCTAGGTCAGGTCTGACATAACTTTTGTAGAATTTCAAAAACAAGTCTGCAGATATTCTATTAAAAGCTTTTGTGATAAATAATAAAGCAGAGTTCGCTTTACTAACTACTTTTGGTGTTTGAGTAGACCAACTTATTGTTTGACAAAAAGTCAGAAAATTTAGCATGTAAAGAAGCAATATTAGTCAAAAATATTTATTGTTGTCAACTATATTTGTTTTTTTGCGGAATTTTGTTGGTTAGTACTAATAATAGTTGGAACTTTATTAATATACTTTATTGTTAGTTCCTTGTTAAGTAGATTACGTTTTTCCAGTTCCTCTCGCACTTTATTCAAATAGTTTATTTGATATTTAGTTAAGTCATCCTTAAATTGAATTCTAGAAAATTCGGTTCCCAACAACCTCATATTATTGCGCAACACAAATAATGGACTATCATTATCTGCAAATTTAACCTTTAATGGCCGTTATGCAAGGAACACTATTGTTTATAAATACTAAAATAATTTACTAAAAACGCCTAAATAGGTTTTTAAAACTAAATAAGTTTTTTATAGATATAATACTTATAGAGTGTAAATTTTATGATATCATACTTTCAAAATAAAAGTTGCAGTATTTACTATTCTGTAACTCTGTAAGTTTCAGCATGACCAGTTTAAAATTCAAACCGATAACATTCCTACTAAGTTTTGTTATATTCTGCCAAATTGTTGTACAAACTAATTGATATGGCAACCCTGTCACTATGTCGTTTCGTTTGAAGCGTTTCGAAGCCGAACGTAATGCTATCTATCGATGATAAATACTACCACTGTTTCAGATGGAGCCATCTCCCTATATTACACATTTGAAGGCGGCGGTTCAAGACATAATTCTTGTTTAACGAGATTTTTCATATGTTTAGGAAAAAATATTTAACGTTTTATTGCAAATATTTTCCACTTTTACAGTTTTATATATGTTGTTATTAAAAAAATTTTTGGTTTTTTACCGAAAGCTTTATTATAAACAGAAACATACTATTTTTTCCTACTGGGACAAAACTGTAAATTCAAAAATTTAAAAAAAAAATCGTAAGTATTTCTTATAATTATATCTTGATGCTGTAAAAAAATTAACAAAATTATATGTCTGGTTTTCCCGCTTTATACTTGGAAAAAAGTAGTTTTTTTGAGTTTTTTTAAAAACGAAAACATGAAGTTTGCTTAAAAGTTGTCAAAACATTTCTAGTCATCTCATACACCTTCTCAATTTTTTTCAAATTTTTTGAATTTGGAATTTATTTTTTGGGGGGTGCAGATCAACCTTAAGAAGATATTTAGTGGTGATTATGACTTTGATTTTTGGAAAACTTTAGGCGTTCAGTGACAGAAAGGTACCAAATTTTGTTAATATAATTTAATAATTGTAAGAATTTCAAATTTAGATAGGTTGTTTTAAATTTATATTGTTTATATTAGATATATATGTGTGTTTCATAATAGTTAAAATAAACATAATTTAAAAAGTACTTACAAACTAATTCTTTAAGAACCGCTGCAATAAAAACCCTATACTCATATATTTTATTTTAAACACTCATTGCTCATGTACAATACAACAAAACATCATAACAATATATATATATATATATATATATATATATATATATATATATATATATATATATCATATTATATACTATTGTGATGTAACAAGTGCATGAACCGATTTTTCTGAATTTATTACCTTCTGAATGTCGAAATGCCCAATTTTCCGGAACAAAGACTGTCAGCTGTTCATAATGTAGATTAAGTTTTGCTGCTCTATTGGTATGAATGAGTTGATTAAATTTTGAATATATCGGCTCTTGTTGAATCTTTTGGTAAATGGTCTTATATCTACGATAATAAACAAAATTATTAGAAATTTCGAAACAGGTCCATTTTTGATGTTAGCTTACTATTTTTTTAAATTATATATATATATATATATATATATATATATATATATATATATATATATATATATATATATATATATATATATATATATATATATATATATATATTGGGTTTTAAAAAATTTATTTTGAGTCTCGCACCATTCTCTAACACGTATCTGAGTCGACCTGTCATCAGAGACACTTGTTAGAAGACTCAAATAAAATCAAAACGCACCAACCAGTATCACAATTATAGAAAAAATAATTACCAGATTATGCTACTAGCGACACCTCTAGTGAGGGAAGATGCAAAGACCACAAAAACCGAACGTATGGGCTGGTATTGTGAGAAATACAATTATTAGTCCATACTTATCGATGACAATTTAACAGGAGCATTATATCTAGATTTCCTGCAAAATACATTAATTCCTAATCCGATCCAGCTTTTACCTAATATTCAAATACCCACTAATTTAGAGCGCAGGTCTGATCTTAACAAGATCCTCAACAAGATCCGCAACCTCACATTTTGCAGTAACTGTGCGCGATTGTAACAAAGTTGTCCACAGCGGTGGATAGGAAGAAGGGGACTAGTGGAATGCCCCCTAGATCACCTGATTTGAACTCATTATATTTCTTTTTATGGGGTTATTTAAAATCTAGAGTTCGCAGAAACAGACTTGATAATATCCGTCAACTACAAGATAGAATTAGATAAGAAATACATATCATAACATCCGCTATGCTACAGAATGTTCAACATTCAGTTGGCATTTAAATTTTCTACTGTGTGGATGTAGTAAAACTTGTTCGAGTAGGGACTTTCGTTCCCAGTTGGCAATCTAATAGGATCGGCATTCTACTATACAATTTAATAAATACATTTAAATATGATTTCATCCATTTAAACTCAACCACTCTTTGGTTAAGAGGCTATTTAGCCAGTACTAAAAAAGTTCACTGAAGATGGACTAATAAGACCGAAAACATTTTGAACGTAATTCTTGATTTTTAAAATTTCATTTTTAAGTAAATATTACTATTACAACAGAAGTGTTTTAATTCAATGTAGAATTCATTTATTCAAGTACAGCAGAGAATCCTTAAATCAATTCAAGGAAAATTGCAGCTTTTACAGACATTTCTAAGAGGTCTGTTTTACGTTTTTTTTAAAGAGAAATATCATTTGTATAATATTCATAACATCCAGAAAATCAATGAGGAGAATCCAGATCTCCGAATGTGTTTTTCAAAATAAATTAAAAATAATTTTGTCAAAAATGGTGATTCAGAAAAAAAAACGTTATTTATAAAAATATATAAATTATTGCTGACCTATGTTCAGCAGTGGAGAATACTTATATAGGGAGGTACATACTCTTGTACTCCTCCGTATACACATATACGGAGGAGTACAAGAAAGCGGGATATTACGCAGGCGCTACAATTTTAAGTTGTATCAATGCCACGAAAAATGCAACATCGTCCGGTCTATTAAAATTGATAGACAAAGGTGGCTAGGACACCTTGAAAGAATGGACACTGAAGACCCATAAAGACAGATATTATATCAAGAGCCAGTAGGAACCAGTAAGAGAGGCAGACCAAGATCTAGATTTAAAACTCAAGTCGAAGATGACTTGAGAAATCTATGGATCAGAAATTGGAAAGTTAGAGCGAAAGATAGGGGGAATGGAGACTAATTCTTGAACAGGCCAAGACCCAGCCAGGGTTGTAGAGCCAAAGATGATGATGATGTTCAGTAGTGGACAAAGACACTAGAAGATAATAAATATAGCTTACATATGTAAGCTGTTCAACTTATTATTTGACTTGCATATAAAAAGCTACTACTTAACTTTAGGACAATAGTGATACATATTGCGGGTAACAAAATTTTATTGTCTATTAAATTTTGGTAGAAAAATATGTTTCTATTTAAAAACAAATAGATGACGTTATCACACTTGCTATTATTAAAAATAAAATCAAACCAAAATTAAAAATCGACCTGTCTCAGGTGAAAAACTTCTGAAATTTTAAGAGTTGTGAGTCCTTTGGAAATAAATACAGTTTATATATATATATATATATATATATATATATATATTTATATATATGTATTATTTAAATGTTTAGGGAGAGCTGGGAAATGTTGACGTTTCAAAAAAACATGCTGACATATACGCACTCCTAGTAAAGGCACAAATTAAAAGTTTCGAATTTTGAGTTTTAGTCTGATATAGACATAAAACCTAATAATCTATCCAATGGCCTTGAAAGAAAGCGAGATAGATGAAATAGTGTGTCTATATGTGTCTATTTTCAAATATGTGATTTCCGACCCCCGCTCATCCTATATCGACGAATTCAGTTTCAAAACATTATTGTGTTGTCATATTCAGCATTATGCCATTGTACGATAAAACTTTGGTAAGTTTCACATATTGTTTTTTCTATTAAACTGATGTGTGTAGTTTCTGCCGTTGTATTACAAAACTTACGGGTATAATGTGTACGCATGTCAAATTAGTTCTATATATTACAAATTAATCATTTATTTGCTACGTGTATTTTCAATTATGTCTTTGTGTTATAAGAACAAAACCTCAGACTTGAAGTAAAGTAATTATTGTGCCTCTGTAAGATATAAAATATAATGAAATATAAAGTTTAGTGCCTCTATATTAATGGCTATTCACATAAATATTTATACATCATGTAAATAACTACATTGTGCAAAATAATGGGATCACGAACTCAAACAATTATTAATCTTTTAAATAAACCAAATGATGTGGTGACGCCAAATCAAATACCGGAACATGAAAATGTAAATAGGTATAAAAATCTGTACTTATACATGTATAATAAACAAGGGATCATTTCATAAAACAGGTAGATTCTTTTTTATAGATTTTCACACCTAAATGACTGAATTTTAACGCAATTAAGAATTGGACAACATTTAGATTCAGGGTATGTGGAGATAGCTATAAATTAAACCAAATATTTGCATTTGCCATAATATCTTTGTAAGATACTATGTTTTATGCTTGAAATAAACAGGGAAATCTGTGAAAAGCCCATTTATATTATATTATAATATTTTATGGATTCTGTTTTTTAATTTATATACAATTGGTAGAGAGAGTAGACCTTGGTGATTATGATCTTACATATAACAATATACAGACGAGTAGACGCAGTTCGTTAAGTATAACATCAATAAGTTCAAATGAGGAGAATGTTGAAACATCTACTACAGTTAGTGTAGTGTAAAGAAAAAATAAGCTGATTCAACTAAGTAGAAACAGAATATTCAGAAGGATCAACGCAACCTACGTGAAAGCTACACATCTATCAATACAAATAAATATGTTCCAGCAAGGAAAATGTAACCCCCAATGAAATGCAGCAAAAAAATGGATGAAAACCAAAGATTGCCACATTTCAAGTCGATTTGTAAATTAGGAGACATACATGTACAGGGTGGGCCGTTGAGTAATGTATTTTTATTTTATTTTTTTAATTAAGTTGCCTGACCCCAGAAAATATGTATGATAAGATAACTTATTTCACAGTGTTTATTTTATAATTAATTTAATTTTTTTTCCACTGCCACAGAGCTATATAAGAACAAGATTTTTACGAAAAAATCCAATCATTTAATATTATGTCAAATTCGTTTTTTTTTAATATAATATGGTTGCCTGAGTCAAAAAAGTGTGTTATACGATAAATTTGATCATAGTATTTTGTTTGACAACTATTTTTTTTTCTACTGCCACAGCGCTTTATAAAATTAAGAATTTTTCAAAAAAAAATGTATTGTATGGTAGATGTATTTTTTTGCATACAAAAAATAATTTATACTAAAGCTAAATTTCTTTTGAACACATAATAAAACAATACAAATACAAAAATAGTTTATCTTTAAATATATAACGATACAAAACAGAATGTCTTTCAAAAGTAACAATCACATTATTTCAAAAAAAAGTCTTTCTTTGATTCATATTTCGGCATATTTTCCCCTGATTTCAGCCTGTTCCTTATATAACCGTCTCTTTTTTCACTTACACAGACAGAAGCTGAACCTTCTGTTACTATTTTGACGGCCCTCTTCCCTTAGTTGATCTTTTGATAGCTTCATAGTTACAGGAGGCTCTGTTCATAAATATCGTACAGGTATTTTTGATCTGTACTTAGATCGTCGCTGCGAAATTCGTCCACTGATGAATCTATTTTTGAAAATGAAACTACAGGAAGAGTTTCACAAACTTGCAGTCGTTTTCCAAGAGGTCCCGAAAACGCACTTGGTCCACTGGTATTGCCATCCAGTTTTTCAAATAGGTGTCTTAAAGGCAACTCGTTGGCGTGAAGCTGACAGAGAAACCACTGCAGGGGCCTTCCAATTTTATTCTCTAGTAACACCATAATGCCTCCTTTACGCCCTGTATTTATGACAGTACCGTCGCATCCAACGACTTCTAAGTTATTGAGGTCCAAATTACATTTTTTTTTAAACTCCAAGATTGCATTTGCTATATTAATAGCAGTGCCAGATGTAGGACAAATGTGACCCAGATACTTAGAACCAGATTCTTCTAACATTGTGATATGCTCTTCCATCACAGTTTTTCTTGCATTTTCCTGGAACACTAAAGACTTGTCTTTCCGTCCATCAAAGTAAAGACCACGAAGACATAATGGAATGGAATCGTTCTGAACCTCAATTCTTTTCTTTTCTCTTGCTCTTCTTATTTTGTTCTTATCGATGATATGTGTTTTATTTTGCGTATCTATGACACCAAAATCTAGTAGCACCGCTGATGCATTAGCTGCTCCTGCTCGGTCTGAAACCAAATAGCGGTCAAGTGTTTCAGCTAATCTTGGTATTTCTTTCAGATTGCGTTGAATGCCCTCTGAGGTACTGGGCAAATTCGATAA